AAAAGTAATTAAATTTAAAAAGATAAGGCTATTTACTTTATAATAATAATTTTAATAGTTAATTAACTTCTTTATAATAAAATTTATTTTATATTATAACTAATATTAAGTAATATATTCTTAGTAAATCTACTTATTAATTATAATATAAAAGTTATATACCTAAGAGATAAATAATAAAGATATTTATTTATATAGTTTTTTAAAGTTAAAAACTTTTTTATTTTTTAAAAATATTTAATTATATTTTATATTTAAGATTCTAATATTAAGATATTATTAAAAATATTTACTAAAGTTTTAAATTTAATTACTTATATAAGTCTAAAGCTTTATAATATTAAATATTAATATAAGTAGCTTATTTAACTTAAATTATATATATTAACTAAAAATATATAAAAATATATAGATTTTAATATTATTTATATTAAGAAGGATTTTTATAAAAAGCTAAAAGATAAAATATAAGAAAAATATACTTTAATTTTTAATTTATAAAATAATAATATTTAAATTAAGGTTTTTATATATAAAGATATAAGAAAAAGGTAAAAAGAAGAAGTAAAAAAAATTATAAAATATAAAAATAATTTTAATAAAATTTAAATATAGATAATAAAAATAATTAATATTAATTTATATAAAAGAACTAAATTAAGTATTAATTTAAAAACTAAATCTAATAACTTATCTTTAGAATTTAAGATATTAAAAAAATATATTAAAAAGCTAAAATTAATTATTATACCTAATAATTAAATAATAAAAAATAATATTACTAGATAATATTAAGAAGTCTTAGAAATTATATTATTATTATTATATAAAATAATAAGTCTTTTTTATAGTCTTATTTCTATAAAACTAAGAAATATAAGTTTTTTAAAACTTTTATTTTATTATAATTAAAAAAAAAGGGAAAGTTAATATAAAGAAGAATAAATATAAAAGATATATTTAAAAATTTATATAACTTTTCTAGGTCTTAAAGAAAATCAAATTATTTTTTTAGATTTTCCAGAAGAGTAAAGATACTACCTTTAATAGGTAAGTACTATATAAAATAATCTACTAAGACTAAGACTTTAAACATAGAAAAACTTATAATCAGGCCCTTAGGTACTATATCGTGTGGGCCACTCAATCCTCTGAACTCCACAGTCGTCGGTCGCTCGCCCCTCACGCGGTACTCCATCTTCACTCAGCAACGCCCACGCGTAATAGTCCATAGCTGCAAGAGCAAGCACACCCGGTGGAAGAATGCTGCGGGGGTATTCAGAGTCGCTGATGCCAAAACCAAGATCGTTGCAAATATTCTGGCGCGTGGAGCCATCATTGATTCCAGCTAGTATTAGATAGCCATATGGTGTGGCGATCTTAGGATTTCCATATATAAAAGCTCCATACCGCGTCATCCAGCGGATAATTTGGACTTGCTCTTTAATCGATATCATAGTAAAGCATATATCTCGGTCTTCGCGAACGCGATGGTCTCTAGAACCATATATAACGCCTGGTCGTGGTGCATAGCCTAGCTGCACTACGCCAGTTTGGCAAATGTACTTCTGTAAAGGAGAACAGCGGCCGAGAGTTTGGGTAATAATGGCTTCGTATATTTCGATTGAAAGTAGGCCTGGTTCGACAAGCCATGGCCAGTTGCGATGAGGAGCTGAATCGGGAGGAGGTAGAAGCTGCTGTTTGTATTCCTTTTTGTCCGGGAAGAAAGGTATACTGGGATTATTTGGCTGACAAATATTGAATCTCTTTTCATCTCTCAGCTTCTTCGAGCGGATCGCGGGCATAGTGATGACTGTTGTTGCGGAATAGCTGCTGGCAAAGATAGATCGATAGTGCTGTTGTGTGGTCGAGAAATCGCTAGAATATATAGTGGTGTGTAGGAGGAGTGAGAATTTTAAACTTTTCCGGCACCACCAGCGCCATTAGCGCCACCAGCGCTAAAAGCGCCATTTGACATTTACTTTTGCTTTTCCCCTTTATGTGAAAGGATATGTGAGCCTGTTTATATGCCAGTGTCCAAACGGGAGCAATCAATTCCGCATTATATAACTGAGAAATACCACGATATGTGTGCCTAGTGGAAGGAAAAGTGAACGCGAGGAATACATGTGCCACACACCCACTCTTCGAGTTAGGTGTTAGATACACTGCCGGCCACCATACAGTCACGGCTACTATATTACGTCATATAAAGTAATTACTCTAATAAAAAAGAATCTAATAATAGTAAAATTAAGATTTAAATATACTAAAATTATATACTATATAAAGTATTTATATACTAAATTTAATAATTTTTAATATTTTATTTATTAAATTACCTTTTAAAAACTTAAAATTTAATATAAAAAACTTAATATTTAAAGATTATAATTTAATAAAAATAATAATAATAATAATTAATTTTATATTTTTAAATAACCTATATTTTCTTTATTTCAAAAGATATTTTTAAATATTTATATATATATTAATTATTAATATATTTTAATATATATTTAAAAAACTCTATATTTTTAATAATTAATTATTAATTTAAAAGAAAATAATATAAAAATACTTTTTTTTAAAAATAATATTCTTTAATAGTTAAATATTATTTTATATATTTAAAGATATTAATACTATTTTTAGTTATTTTAATATATATAATAGAAAATATTTTTTACTTTATAGCTGCGGGTATATAGTAGCCGGCAGTGTATCTAATACCTAACTCGAAGAGTAGGTGTGTGGCACGTGTACCCTTTCATCAGCCAGTGTTTCACAGACATAACTTATAAAGTATACGAGCCACTTCGTGTCGCATTGTTGTCTGTGCAGCTGCATGGTGTGGCCATCATTGTCTATGGGGGCCTGATCACTAACTCTCAGTCTCCAGGAGTATCGACCCACGCAACCTACGGTAGCCGCTCTTAACGTTCTACACGTGCCCGCACCCATCGCTTCGCTTAGGTGCTGCAGGGCTAGGTGGCCACTATAGCCTTATAGACACATACTAGATACTACTAAAAAAATAAGAAAATAATAATAATTATATTAAATCTACTAATTTAGTATATAATATAAGAAATATATAGTTAAATTCCTTAAAAAATCTTATTTATTAAAATAAAATTATTTTAAATTATTTTAAATTATTTAAAAAATATAAAAAAAGCTATATTTATAAAATAAAAAAAGTATTTTTTAAATTTTTAAAATTAAATAAAAATATTAAAAATACTAACTAATTAATTAGAATAGTTATTTTTATTAAAATAGTTATTTTTTATATAATTTTAATAAATATATATAATTTATAAAAAAAATATTATTAGTTTAAAAATTTAAATTTATAATAATACTTTATAAAATCTAATAATATTTTTTTAAATCTAAGTTCTAGTATTTAATTTTAGTTTATATTATAATAATATTTATTTAGTTTTATTATTTTTATTATATAAACTTAGGTTATATATCTTAAAAGGTAGAGATATAGTATTAAGAAAAATATTAAATTTAGTAATATACTTTTATAGCTTTTTAATTTAATTTTATATTATTATTATTATTATATTACTCTAGTTAAACTAGCTTATCTATTTAGTACCTTTATTATTTAGTAATATAAAAAAAACTAAAGTCTTTAGAGGAAAACCTATATTTCTTTACTACCTTTAATTCTATATTTATCTCTAGTAAAGACTAATAAGGCCCTTCTCCTTAATTAAAATTAAAATTAGATAAAATATCTTACTAGTATCTCTAGTTAATAACCTATATTAAGCTAATATTAAGGTAGTTAAGGTAATATTAGGTTAATTTATATAAAAGACTAAATAATTATATAACTAAATAACTAAGTAATTAAATAATTAAGGGTAAAGAACTTTAAAGCTTAAGGGGGAGGGTTTATATATAATTATAATTATTAAACTAATAATATTATAAGGTAATAGCTAAAATAAAAATAGCTTATTTACTTCTTACTTTTATATTACCTTAGTTATTATAAAGCTTTATTAAGCTAAATATTTTATTTATTATATATCTATATATAAATATATATATTTATTATTTTTCTTATTTTATATAACTTATAAATAATATATAAAAATCTATATTTTTTTATTTAAATATCTAAGCTAATCTCTAAATAAAAATATATATAATTAATAATTAGTCTTTATTTAATTAATTTTAACTTTTTACTAGTAAATTAATTAATCTAGTTAGTTTAGCTAATCTAGTTAATTTAGCTAATTTAACTAGTTTAGTAAAAGTATAAATAAATTAAGATTTTATTTATTTTTAGGCTCTTTTTTCTTTTTCTTTTTTAGTTAAACTATCTATATATTTACTTCTTTTTCTTTTATTACTTTTATATAAAGACTTTTTATACCTTAGTTATTCTTAAATCTTAAATAATAAAGCTAATATAATATAAAAAACTTTATATTTTTTCCTTTAAATAAGTAAATATTTAACTATATTACTTTAAACTCCTTAAAAGTTTTATATTAATCTAATATTAACTTTATAAATAATAACTCTTATTAATAATAGTAAGTTTTCTTTTAATATATTCTAACTAGTTCTTAGTTTTACTTTAACTATTTATTAACTTCTTTTAGTCTAGTTAAAACTAAAATAAATTCTTTTAAAAACTACCTTAAGCTATTTCTTATAGATTTTATATAAGTTAAATAACTATTATTAGTTATATAATCTATTATAAATAAGCTAGTAAATACCTTATTTAGACTAAGGCTAAATTATATTAACTTTATTTTAAGAAAAGGTTATATTTATATTATATATATTAAGTAAAGTTTATATTA